TGTCACTCAGCTCTGTCCCTGTCACCCAGCCCTGTCCCTGTCACTCAGCTCTGTCCCTGTCACCCAGCCCTGTCCCTGTCACTCAGCTCTGTCCCTGTCACCCAGCCCTGTCCCTGTCACTCAGCTCTGTCCCTGTCACCCAGCCCTGTCCCTGTCACTCAGCTCTGTCCCTGTCACCCAGCCCTGTCCCTGTCACTCAGCTCTGTCCCTGTCACCCAGCCCTGTCCCTGTCACTCAGCTCTGTCCCTGTCACCCAGCCCTGTCCCTGTCACTCAGCTCTGTCCCTGTCACCCAGCCCTGTCCCTGTCACTCAGCTCTGTCCCTGTCACCCAGCCCTGTCCCTGTCACTCAGCTCTGTCCCTGTCACCCAGCCCTGTCCCTGTCACTCAGCTCTGTCCCTGTCACCCAGCCCTGTCCCTGTCACTCAGCTCTGTCCCTGTCACCCAGCCCTGTCCCTGTCACTCAGCTCTGTCCCTGTCACCCAGCCCTGTCCCTGTCACTCAGCTCTGTCCCTGTCACCCAGCCCTGTCCCTGTCACTCAGCTCTGTCCCTGTCACCCAGCCCTGTCCCTGTCACTCAGCTCTGTCCCTGTCACCCAGCCCTGTCCCTGTCACTCAGCTCTGTCCCTGTCACCCAGCCCTGTCCCTGTCACTCAGCTCTGTCCCTGTCACCCAGCCCTGTCCCTGTCACTCAGCTCTGTCCCTGTCACCCAGCCCTGTCCCTGTCACACAATGCTGTCCCTGTCCCCAACCCCTCTTTTTCCCCCACCTCCCACTGACCCCCACCCCTAAACCCACCAGGGAGGAATTCAGGGGTCCTTCCCGCCACCCCCGGGTGGTGTCGCAGCGCCGGGCCCTGTCCCTGGCAGGGCCAGCCCGCGGGCTCACCGGTGCCCGAGGACACGGACTTGCCGATGTCGGCCAGGGAGCGGTGGATCGGCTTCTTGGTCTGGTGGCGGTGCTTGCGCAGGAGGACGTAGCTGAGCTTCTCCCGCAGCTCGGGCTTCAGCAGCCCCTCCTCGATCTGCTTCTCGATGACATCGTCTGCAACACGCGGCCACGGTGACCCCAAACCTCCCCAAAGTGTCCCCAAAGTGTCCTGTCCTCACTCTGCAACACACGGCCACGGTGACCCCAAAACCCCCCCAAAGTGTCCCTCCCTCAGTCTGCAACACGCGGCCACGGTGACCCCAAAACCCACCCAAAGTGTCCCCAAAGTGTCCCCAAAATGTCCCGTCCTCGATCTGCTTCTCGATGACATCATCTGCAACACGCGGCCACGGTGACCCCAAAACCCACCAAAGTGTCCCCAAAGTGTCCTGTCCTCACTCTGCAACACACGGCCATGGTGACCCCCAAAACCCCCTCAAACTGTCCCCAAAATGTCCCGTCCTTGATCTGCAACACGTGGCCATGGTGACCCCCAAATCCCCCCCAAAATGTCCCCAAAATGTCTCGTCCTTGGATCTGCAACACACGGCCATGGTGATGCCCAAAACCTCCCCAAAGTGTCCCCAAAATGTCCCGTCCTCAATCTGCAACACACGGCCACGGTGACCCCCAAAACCTCCCCAAAATGTCCTCAATCTGCTCCTCGATGACATCACCTGCAGCACCCAGCCACTGTGACCCAGGGATGACCCCCAAAACCTCCCCAAAATCTGCTGCTTCAGCAATGACCTCAGATCCCCCCAGAACCTCAACACAACCATTTCTGGAAGCACCTGATGGCTCCCAGCTCCTCCCTTTGCTCATTCCTGGACAAATTCAGGAAAAAAAAAAGAGTTCAAATCCATCCCACCATTTTAGGACATGGGGGGAAAAACCTCCAGGGGCTCCTACCAATAATTTGGGGCAGGGAGTATCCGTCCAGGTCCAGCAGCACCGTTCCCGTCTGCAGGCACGTCCGCAGCTCAAAGAGGCTGTGCAGGGACAGGGTGGACACGTGGGGTTTGCTCCACCTCTCACCACCTTCCTCCACCTTCTCCTCGAACTTGATCCACCTGGAAGGGAGCAGGATGGGGCGGGTGTGAGGGTCTGGGAATGGCTTCTCCTTCCTGGGGAGTTTCCCTGCTTGGAAGGCCTGGATTAATTAATCTCGCAGGGTTCCCACTCGTTATCCCGGCTGGGAGAGGAGGATCTGGTGGGGTCGTTCCCAAAAGTGCTGCTTGCAGGGTGGTGGAGGGGAAGGAACGCTCCCAGTCCCACCAGGAAACCCAAATCCATGGATTGGGGGCACGAGTCCCTGTGGGATTGGGGCCACGGCTCCAGCGGCGCCTTTGCGCCGCCATCGGCATCCTGGGATTCCTTCACTGAGTTCCACCCAATTCCTCCTGCTCCCAACATCCTGAAATCCCTTTTTTCCCCATTTATTGTGGATTTAAGTGCTCGCACCACGGAGCTGCTGCCCTGAGGATAAAGAGTCCCAAGCTTGGAAAATCAGGAGAAATTTGGGAACCTCCAGCCCTCCCTGATGGAAATCCCAATGCACATGCTGATTTTTTGCCTTCCAAGCTTTTCAAGGAATGGGAAGGCAGAAATAAACATGGATTTATGGAAAATTAAGGATTTTACCAACAGAATCTGAGGAGTTGGAGCAGAGATTGGAACCAAGGGGATTCCATTTCCAAACCCTCCCAAAATCCCATTTTACCAGCATTTCCCCAATTCAGGAATATTCTTTTCCAACCACCCTAAATTCAACACTCATTCCCTGATATTCCATTTTGGAACTGGAGCAGAGATTGGAACCAAGGAACCATTTTCAAGCCCTCCCAAAATCCCATTTTACCAGCATTTCCCCAATTCAGGAATATTCTTTTCCAACCACCCTAAATTCAACACTCATTCCCTGATATTCCATTTTCAAACCCTCCCAAAATCCATTTTTCCAGCACTTGCCAGATTCGGGAATGTCCTTTTTTAATATTGTTATAAACAACGCCCATTCCCTGATATTCCATTTCCCAAATCCCATTTTCCAGCGTTTCCCCAGTTCAGGAACACCCTTTTTTCCCAGTGCTCATTCCGTGATATTCCCTTTTCAAACCCTCCCAAATCCCATTTTCCAGCATTTCCCCAATTCAGGAATATCCTTTTTTCCCCGATATTCCCTTTTCAAATCCAAATCCCATTTTCCAGCGTTTCCCCAATTCAGGAATATCCTTTTTCCCCTGATGCTCATTCCACGATATTCCATTTTCAAACCCTCCCAAAATCCATTTTCCAGCATTTCCCCAATTCAGGAATATCCTTTTTTCCCCGATATTCCCTTTTCAAACCCTCCCAAACCCCGTTTTCCAGCATTCCCCCAGCTCAGTAACTCCTTTCCCACCCCCCAAATCCCCCGCTCCCTCCCCGGCCCCGCTCCCTGTGGGACCTTTTGGGATGGGATTTTCCCGCCCCGTTCCCGGATCCCAGCCCACCTGGCGGATTCCTTCCACTCCATGTCGTCGCCGTCGCGCTGCAGCGTGTCCATCTCCGTGAAGAGCGTGGGCTTGGGGGGCTCGTCCTCCTCCCCCAGGATGTACCGCAGCCGTTCCGCGGCCGGGGACACTGCGGGAAAAACCGCTGGAACCGGGAAGGGATGGCCCCAAAGGGCACGGCCCCAGGGGTTGGGATGGCAAAAAGGGGATGGAAATGTTTGTGGGAATGGGGGAACCCTGAGTGATCCCACCCCGAATTCCCTCTGCTGGAATTCTGGGGGAACACAGGATGGCCCCGCAGGGCACTGCCTCAAGGGGTTGGGATGGCAAAAAAGGGATGGAAATGTTTGTGGGAATGGGGGAACTCCATCCCAAATTCCCTTTGAATTCCCTCTGCTGGAATTTAGAGGGAGAACGGGATGGCCCCGCAGGGAATGGCCCCGAGGGGTTGGGATGGCAAAAAAGGGATGGAAATGTTTGTGGGAATGGGGGAACTGAGTGATCCCATCCCGAATTCCCTGTGCTGGAATTCCAGGGGAACACGGGATGGTCCCACAGGGAACGGCCCCAAGGGGTTGGGATGGCAAAAAAGGGATGGAAATGGAGGGAAATGTTTGTGGGAATGGGGGAACCCTGAGTGATCCCACCCCGAATTCCCTGGGGAATGCTGGGGGAAGGAGGAGCAGGATGAAGCTCCAGGAACCAATTCCCACCAAATTCCCTCCCCAGGAGTTCCCTGTGCCCAGTTCCCAGGTTTATCCCAAATTTCCCCCCCACAGACCCCATTTTTCCAGGCTCCATTTTTCCCACCCCAACCCTTCCAACCTTGGGATTTCCCCTTTTCCCAACGGGGAACGACACAAATCCATCATTCCTGTGGGGAAAATTCCATCTTTTTCTGGGAAGGGGCAGCATTTATGGCCTGGGCAGAAATCTGGGAATGGTTTTGGGATCACGGTGCCCTCCAAGGCTTTTCCAGCCCAGCACATTCCCAGTGCCCACAGGAGGGTGAAGAAATCCCAGGAAAAAAAAAAAAGTTGGGGGAGGGTGAAGAAATCCCAGGGGAAAAAACAAATTGGATTTGTTCTTAACCCTCTCCATCCTTGGGGGTTTTTCCAGCAAAACTTCCCAATTTTGGTGGATTTGGAGAGAAATCCAAGCCCTGAAATCCATGGAAATGGGGTGTTTGGAATGAATCCTGTATTTCCTGATTGAGCAGGAATGATCCAGGCCTGGAAAATGGGAATTTTGGGGCAAAATCCTCCTTTTCTCCAAGCTGGGAGTAACAAAGCTGGGCAATGCAGCACTTAAAAAATCAGGGCATTAAATTGCTGTGGATAAATGAGGGGAAAATGGGAATTTTGCACTTTTCTGCCCAAAGCAGACGAGCCCAGGCCCCAAAAGAAGAGGATGTCCCTTTAGGCTGAGCCTGCTTAAACCACTTAAGCCCCTCTAAGCCGAGCCCAAAGGCTGCCAAGGTGCAGCCCTGCCACCATTCCCTAAATCCCTTCTTGTGATTGTGAATATTCCCGGGAATTCTGGGGCTGGGCTCCGTGCCTGGAGGGTTTCAGGCTCCCTAAGCCTGGGCTTTTTCTCGGAAAAGGGATGAGACGGGTGAAATTCTGGTCAACCCCCCCTGCCAACACCAAAATTCCCAAAAAACCCAAATTTAATGAGCTAAACCGCAAATCCCTGTCCTGGGTGGGATCTCTGGTGGAAAAATGGGATTTGGAATTCCTGTCCTCGATTTTGGGGTTGCTGCTCCCAGCTCTGCCCAAATTCCCTCTCTAAAAATAAATCCTTCCTTCCTCACCCTCCCCCAGGACCTCATTTTGGGGTCTCGGGGCTTTTCACCCCTGAAACCCCAAAAAACTGAAAGAAATCTCCTACAAAAAGAGCTTTTTTGTCTTCTTTTCCTTATCCTGCCAGATTTCAGGGAATCAATCCCACTTGCAGCTCCCTCCCTCCCTGAGGTGGCCAAAATTCCTGGGATTTGCTCACCTGGAGAACAATTCCAGGGCTGGGAGAGCTCCCAGCTCCTCCTGCTTTGGGGTTTTTTATTCCTGGGAATTGCACCCAGCACTGAAAACCCCAGGAGGCAGCAGGTGTTGGCTGGGGAGGGGGAAAGTGACACAAATCCCATAAAGCACCCCAAAATCAGCTCCCTGGGGAGATCCAGAGCTCCCTGAAGCAGGTTTTAGGATGGGAAAGCTCCAAGATTTCAGCCACTGTGGATTCCCAGGGAATATTTAGGATAATTTCCATGGGAAACAGGACTGGAATGATTTAAATCCCAGGTGCAGATGCTCCTTCACATCCTAACCCTGACCCCACAACGAAATCTCACCTGGAGATCCTTTCCCAAACCGAAATTCCCACTACATTGGGATAAAATTGGGAAATTAGGGAGTGCAGCCCTGCTGGGGCTCTGCAATCCAGCCAGGACTAAGCCTGGGTTTAGGTCCAGCCTTATCCAGGGGCTGCCATGGGCTCCCCACAGCTTTTCCCTGCATTTCCCTGTGGGTTCTGCACAGCTTTTCCTGCATTTCCCTGTGGGCTCCCCACAGCTTTTCCTGCATTTTCCTGTGGGTTCTGCACAGCTTTTCCTGCATTTTCCTGTGGGTTCTCCACAACTTTTCCTGCATTTTCTTGCCTCAGTCGAGTCCCAGCTGCCCCACAACCCGGAGAGCAGGGTGCACATCCCATGGCATGAATTTGCTCCAAATCCCCAGGTTTGGGATATTTCTGACCCTTCCAAAACCCAACTTTTCCACCGAGGAGCAGCAGCAACTCCCTCGCTGATTTTTGGGATGAGCTTTGGATCTCTGCACTTTTAGAAGCCCCTAAGTTGCTTTCCCGAGGGACAAACCAGAAAAACCCCCCAAGGATCTTTTCCCCCTCCCACCCCAGCGCTGGGAAATAAAAACCCCAACCCCTACCTGGAGCTGTCTGCATTTCTTCCCCCATTTCCCCCGGTTCGACCCCAAACTTGGCGGCGCGGTCCCGAACGCCGCCGAGGGCCGAGCTCCTTCCCCTCCCTCCCCTCTCCTTTATGCACGGCTTAGGGAGCAGATTAGGGCAGCAAATCCTCCCCTCTCCCATGACGGGAAGTGGCCCGAGGCCGGGATGCGCCCGGGAGCCGCCGGGACCGGGGTCCTGCTGCCCTGGCCCCGAGATCCGGGACTGGGATTTCACAAGGGGAAAAGGACAGAGGGAGGCAGATCTGGTGGGGGGGAAAATGGAAAATGAGGGGGTTGTCCGAGCCTCCAAAGTGGGCTGGGGGTGTCTCTGAGTGGAGTTTGGTGGTTGTGGGGAGGAGGGAAAATGGGGGGAAAAGGGGAAAGAGGGGAAATAGGGGAAATAGGGGAAATAGGGGAAAAGAGGGAAAAGAGGGGGAAAAGAGGGGAGAAGAAGGGAAAAGGAGGGGAAAGAAAAGAAAAAGAGGGGAAATAGGGGAAAATAGGGAAAAGGAGGGGAAAAGGGGGGAAAAGAGGGGAAAAGGGGAGGAAAGAAGAGAAAAATAGGGGAAATAGGGGGAAAGAGGGAAAAGGAGGGGAAAAGAGAGGAGAATAAGGGAAAAAGAGGGGAAAGAAAAGAAAAAGAGAGGAAATAGGGGAAAATAGGGAAAAGGAGGGGAAAAGGAGGGGGAAAAAAGGAAAAGGAGGGGGAAAGAAAAGGGGGAAAGAGGGGAAAGAGGGGAAATAGGGGAAAAGAGGGAAAAGGAGGGGAAAAGGAGGGAGAAGAAGGGAAAGGAGAGAAAAGAAGAGGAAAAGAGGGGAAATAGGGGGAAAGAGGGGAGCATAAAGGAAAAGGAGGGGAAAAGGAGGGGAAAAAAGGAAAAGGAGGGGGAAAGAAGGAAGAGGAAGGGGAAAGAAGGAAATAAAGGGAAAAGGAGGGGAAAATTGGGGAAAAGGAGGGGAAAGGAGGGAAAAGGAAGGAAGGAAGGGACATGCCCCTGCTCCCGCCCCCGCCGAGGGCACAAAGGAGCTGCCAGCGAATAAAAATCTCTTCCCGTGCAAAAAAAACCACAGGAAACTTCAGCTGGGCCTGAACCCGAGTGCAAATTTCCAGCAGGGGGTGGAAAAACCCCAGCCCAGGGAAGGGCTTCCAGCCTCGGTCCCCTGTGAAATGTTAATCTCCCCTAAGGAGATTTCCCCCCTAAGGAGCAGCAAAACCCGGCGGGAACACGCTGTGATTCCCAAAGGTGTCTGGAGCCCCAATCCCAGAGGGGAAACTCCATCCAAATCCCATTGCAATGGGAAAAACCCGTTGGGAACATGGTGTGAAGGTTGTGGAGACCCCCAATTCCAGCAGGAAACCGCCTCCAACCCCATTTTAATGGGAAAAACCCACTGGGAATAAGGTGTGAAGGTTGTGGGGATCCCCAGTCCCAGCAGGAAACCCCCTCCAACCCCATTTTAATGGGAAAAACCCACTGGAAACAAGGTGTGAAGGTTGTGGGGATCCCAAATCCCAGCAGGAAACCCCCCCTCAACCCATTCCAATGGGAAAAACCCATCGGGAACACGCTGTGAGGGTTGTGGGGATCCCCAGTCCCAGCAGGAAAACTCTCCAAATCCCATTTCACCATTGGGAACACAGTGTGAAGGTTGTGGGGATCCCCAATCCCAGCAGGAAACCCCCTCCAACCCCATCCCAACGGGACCCACAAACCCAGGAGCGGGCGGAGCGGCGACCCCAGAACCCCCGCCTGGATTCCCGGGCCCTCTGGGCACTCACTGGTCCTGCTGGCGTTGTCGTTGCCGCTCTCGGGCCAGGCCTGGCCCTCGTCGGTGTCCGAGGGCTCGCGGGGCCCGAAGTGGCTTGCCACGCCGCGACCCCGAGCCCATCCAGCTGCGACCCCAGGATTCCCGGGCCCTCTGGGCACTCACTGGTCCTGCTGGCGTTGTCGTTGCCGCTCTCGGGCCAGGCCTGGCCCTCGTCGGTGTCCGAGGGCTCGCGGGGCCCGAAGTGGCGCTCGCTGCCGCTGCGCTCGCGGCTGGAGCCCGGCGAGCGCCGGCGGCGCCGCTTCCTGCGGAAGCCGCGCGGCACCGGCACCCCGATGTAGATGGAGTGGTAGTCTGGGAAAGAGGGAGGAAGGGGTTAAAAAATTCGGGTTTCAGGGTGGGGAGGAGGTGGGTGGGGTGATAAACGCAGTGGAAAATTGATTTTTTTGGCAGAAAAAGTCCTGGTGAAAATGAGGTGAATGGAGCGGTGGGTGCAGTAGGAAATTCAATTTTGAGGGAGAAAAATTCCTGGTGAAAATGGGCCACACATGGAGTGATCATTTCAGCCAAAAATTCATTTTTCTGGGAGAAGAATTCCTGGTGAAAATGGGCCACACATGGAGTGATCATTTCAGCCAAAAATTCATTTTTCTGGGAGAAGAATTCCTGGTGAAAATGATGTGGATGGAGCGATAACTGGAATTAAAAATTCAAAGAGACCTCCAGGACATCCCCGGGATTCCTCTCACCTTCCTCATCCTCGAATCTCCTCCGGGAGCCGCCGAGGCCGCGCTCGCTCATCCCGTCCTCGTCCTCCAGCATGGTCCGGCTGCTCGGGAGGCTGGGGAGGATTGGGAACGGCATCTCAGTGGGATCTGGGGTTCTATGGGATCTGAGTGGGATTTGGGATTCTATGGGATCCGGGATTCTATGGGACCTGGGATCTGAGTGGGATCTGGGATTCTATGGGACCTGGGATTCTATGGGATCTGGGATTTAAGTGGAATTTGGGATTTTATGGGACCTGGGATCTGAGTGGGATCTGGGATCTGAGCGGGATCTGGGATTTTATGGGATCTGGGATTCTATGGGATCTGGGGTTCTGTGGGGTCTGGGATTTGAGTGGGATCTGGGATTTGAGTGGGATCTGGGATTTTATGGGATCTGGGATTCTATGGGATCTGGGATTTAAGTGGAATTTGGGATTTTATGGGACCTGGGATCTGAGTGGGATCTGGGATCTGAGCGGGATCTGGGATTTTATGGGATCTGGGATTCTATGGGATCTGGGAGGGGAAGAAGCTCTCCGCACACCTGCCAGGAGCTCCCTGCTCTGGAATCCTTCATCCCAGCAGGATTCCCGGTGGGATCAGTGGGGACCCTTGGGCACCTCCTGTGCCACCCCTGCCCTGCCCGCTGCCACCCCTGCTCTCCTCTCCCCGTATTCCCAAAACTTCCTGGGGATCCCATCCCCATCCTCCAGTTCCTGCTGCTCAGAGGCTCCAGGAGAACATTCCAGAGATTTCCCAGCACAATTCCAGACACGAATTTCCCAAACTCCAGAGCCTGGCACAATCCCTGGACACGAATTTCCCAAACTCCAGAGCCTGGCACAATCCCTGGACACAAATTTCCCAAACTCCAGAGCCTGGCAGAATTCCCAACCCCAATTTTCTGGGATTCTGGAGCCCCCCATTACTCCGGGCTGACCCCACACGTCCCACAGGGATTTCCCAGCCCAAATTTTCCTTTCCCCGTCCCTGATCCCACATTTCCTTTCCACTTCCAGCCATTTCCCGCTTTGATCCCGGTGGGGATCGGCCAGGGACGCCGATGATGAATTAATTAACGCTCCCTAATTAGCCGAGCTCCAGCGATTGCCTTTCACACTCGGCTGCCCGGGCGCTGTTTCCATTCCCGGCGCGGTCGATGCTCCCAAGGTCACTCAGAGGGCGACCCCGAGCTGCGTTCCTGCATTTTCCAGCTCTCTCGGGAGAAAAACCCCAAATCCGGCCAAAACCTCGGGAATGGGAACACCCCGAGCCCCCTCTGGGCTGGCCGGGGGGGAATTCCTGACCCTTTTACCTGGGAAAAACTGGTTTATCCCAGTCCAAATTAAACCCAGTTTATCCCAGTCCAAATTAAACCCAGTTTATCCCAGTCCAAATTAAACCCAGTTTATCCCACTCCAAATTAAATCCAGGTTATCCTAAACCAGTTTAAACCCAGGTTATCCCAGTCCAAATTAAACCCAGTCCATCCCAAACCAGCTAAATCCAGTTTATCCCAGTCCAAATTAAATCCAGGTTATCCTAAACCAACTTAAATCCAGGTTATCCCCGTCCAAATGAAACCCAGTTTATCCCAGTCCAACTCCAGTCCCACCCTGGCTGAGATTTAAATTTGACTTCCGAGATTTGGGATTTTTCCCCATCAATCCGACGATTTCGGCAGGAATTGATTTAATTTAAGGGAAAACAAATTTTGGGTTTTTCCTCAGGAGGGAAAACCCAAACTGGGCAGTTTTGGGGACAACGTCATCCATGAGCCTTGGCTTCCCAAAAACATTCCGGGGTGAGCCCTGAGGATTTTGGGAAGCCAGAAAAGCAGAAAAAGCAGGAAAACACCCCCAGGGAGAGTTGTACCCTAAAATGACCTTTTGGAAGATGAAGGATCCCAACCCCCAGGAAATCCCGGCAGGTCGGGGTTCCCGGGTGATGGACTGGGGCACAAACCCTTCCAGCTGGGATAATCCCAGGAAAAACAGGATTTTTGGGAATCAGGACAATCTGGGAAGCACAAAGGACCCCGGGGGTAAAGCCAGGCTTTGTTAGGCACGGCTCAATGGAAGCTCCCGATCGATCTGGGCTCGGACAATCTGGGATTTTTCCCACAGGGAGCTTTTCCCCCCTAAATCCCCAAAACCCAACCGGGAGCAGGAATTAGAGCTGGAAAACCCAACTGGAATTCCAGGGAAATCCAGGCAGGGAAAGCCGAGCCCGTGAAACCCCAAAACTGAGATTTCCCCAAAAATGAGATTTCCTCTTCCAAACTCACCTGGAGCTCCCCAAAGAGAGATTTGGGATCGGGCTGTGGGGTCAGGGGAAGCTGGGATTGATGGCAGTCAGAGCTGCTCTTCCAGTGACCCCAAAGCATCCCAAAATCCCGTGAAACCCCAAAACTGAGATTTCCCCAAAAGCGAGATTTCCCCTTCCAAACTCACCCGGAGTTCCCCAAAAAAAGAGATTTGGGGTCGGGCTGTGGGGTCAGGGGAAGCTGGGATTCCTGGCAGTCAGAGCCACTCAGTGACCCCAAAGCGCCGGCCCCAATCCTGTGAAACCCCAAAAATGAGATTTTCCAAAAAATGAGATTTCCCCTTCCAAACTCACCTGGAGCTCCCCAAAGAGAGATTTGGGGTCGGGCTGCGGGATCAGGGCAAGTCAGGACTGGTGGGAGTCAGAGCTGCTCTTCCCAACATCCCAGCGGCCCCAAAGCGCCGGCCCCGATCCCGGCCCCGATCCCGATCGCGCGGTTGGGAGGCGCCGATCGATCGATCGATCGATCACGGCCGGAGCGCGGAGGATCCCGGGAGGGAGGGAGGGGAGTACCCCAAAAAAAGAGATTTGGGGTCGGGCTGTGGGGTCAGGGGAAGCTGGGATTCCTGGCAGTCAGAGCCACTCAGTGACCCCAAAGCGCCGGCCCCAATCCTGTGAAACCCCAAAAATGAGATTTTCCAAAAAATGAGATTTCCCCTTCCAAACTCACCTGGAGCTCCCCAAAGAGAGATTTGGGGTCGGGCTGCGGGATCAGGGCAAGTCAGGACTGGTGGGAGTCAGAGCTGCTCTTCCCAACATCCCAGCGGCCCCAAAGCGCCGGCCCCGATCCCGGCCCCGATCCCGATCGCGTTTGGGGGGAACTGCTCTGGTTTCTGTGTCTGGAATTTAGGGAAGGGCAGGGAGGTCCAGCAGTAGGATGATCCCAAATCCCCAGAACTGGGAAGGTCCTAAACCCCCGCGCGGTTGGGAGGCGCCGATCGATCGATCGATCGATCACGGCCGGAGCGCGGAGGATCCCGGGAGGGAGGGAGGGGGAGAAGGGAGGGAGGGGGAGAAGGGAGGGCACCCCACGGGATCGGCCCCACGGGATCGGCCCCACACAGGATGGGGTGGCCGTGGGGGTGTGGGAAATCTGTCCAAGTTTGGGTTTGGGGGATGTTTTGGGGGATTTTTTTTTCCTGTGGGTTTGGGATCGGTTTTGAGGGGTTTGGGGGGAACTGCTCTGGTTTCTGTGTCTGGAATTTAGGGAAGGGCAGGGAGGTCCAGCAGTAGGATGATCCCAAATCCCCAGAACTGGGAAGGTCCTAAACCCCCATCCATGGGATGATCCCAAATCCTGATCCATGGGATGATCCCAAATCCCCATCCATGGGATGATCCCAAACCCCCACCCATGGGATGATCCCAAATCCCCATCCAATGATCCCAAACCCCTGAAGAACCAAGCTCAGCCCCCAGGGATCCCCCCCAGCCTGGGCAGGTTTAGGGTCAGGATTTCCCCTGGAATTGTTCCCAATTCCTCATTTTCTCTTCCACCCCACTAATCCGGGGTCAGGGATCTCGGCCGTGGCTCCCTTTTATGGGAACATCAATAAATCCCAGCCGACCCCAGCCCCTCATCCCAGAGAAAAACCGGGATCAGAGGGGGCTGGGGCTGGTTTGGGCCGGGATTGTGGTTGGGATTGGGGCTGGGTTGGGCTGGGAATTATGGCTGGTTTAGGCCAGGATTAGGGATGGTTTAGGCCGGGATTAGGGATGGTTTAGGCCGGGATTAGGGATGGTTCTGGGGCTGGTTTAGGCTGGGACTGGGGCTGGTTTGGGCTGGGATTTGGGGCTGGTTTAGGCTGGGATTAGGGATGGTTTAGGCCGGGATTAGGGATGGTTTAGGCCGGGACTGGGGCTGGGCGGGATCAGGGGAAAGCCGGGAATGGTCGGGAGAGGGAGACAGAGCCCGGAGTTTGGGAATGCTCGGGACCCGGGCCCTGCTCCCGAATACCCCAAAGAATACCCCAAAGAATACCCCAAAGAATACCCCAAAGAATCAGAAAAGCCAGGATTTCCTTCGCTCCCAGGAAAAGCTCATCGTGGTTCCTCTTTTTTTCACTTTCCCTTTTTCCCACATTTTTCTCTTTTCACTTTTTTCCCTTTTTCCTTTGATTTCCCCCCCTTCTTTATTTCACTTTCCCCCATTCTCTTTTCCCTTTTCCTTTCCCTTTTTTCCTTTTCCTTTCACTTTTCCCTTCTAATTTCATTTTTTCCTTTCCCCCTTTTCCTTTTCCTTTTTTCCCTTTCCCCTTCACTATTTCCCTTTCAGTTTTTTCCTTTTTCCCTTCACTTTTTCCCAGTTTTCCCAAAGGTAATCCAGGACCAGAGAAGAAAAATCCCATTTTTTCCCCCAAGGAAAATTCAGGATCTGATAATAAAAATCTTACAGTTTTCCCAATGGGAGATGAGAATAAAAATCCCATTTTTTCCCAGTTTTCCCAAAGGAAATCCAGGACCTGAGAGGAAAAATCCCATTTTTTTTCCAGTTTTCCCAAGGAAAATCCAGGATGTGAGAAGAAAAATCCCATTTTTTCCCAAAGGAAATTCAGTGTCTGAGAGTAAAAATCCTATTTTTTCCCAAAGGAAAATCCAGGACCTAACAAGAAAAATCGTATTTTTTCCCAGAGTCAATCCAGGCTCTAAGAAGAAAAATCCCATTTTTTTCCCAGTTTTCCCAAAGACATTTTGGGATCTGAGAAGAAAAATCCCATTTCCCCACGTTCCGCTCCGAGTCCAAGTCCCAGTCCGAGCGCTCCTCACGCTTGGGGGCGGAAGGCGGCTCCTTCCTCCTCCTCCTCCTCCTCCAGCAGCAGCCCCCGCTGTCCTCGGTGTCCCCCCCGGTGTCCCCGCTATCCCCGGTGTCCCCGTAGCCGCCGTCCCGGGGCAGGCACCAGCAGCAGCCCGCTCCGCGCAGGTCCCGCGGGGCCGCGCCCGGCGCCGCCCGCAGCCCCGGCCCGTCCGCGGCGTCCCAGCCCGAGCGGAGCGCGTCCAGCTGCTGCCAGTGCAGCCAGGCCAGGGCCAGCCCCAGCACCTGCGGGGACACGGGCACGGGAGCCTGAAAGGGGGCAGGGGGACCCCAAAAGGGACAGGGACATCCTAAAAGGGGACAGGGATATCCTAAAAGGGGACAGAGACACCCCAAAGGGTCAGGGACATCCTAAAAGGGCCAGGGGGACCCCAAAGTGGACAGGGATACCCCAAAAGGGGACAAGGATATCACAAAGGGGACAAGAATATCCTAAAAGGGGTCAGGGACACCCCAAAGGGTCAGGGATATCCTGAAAGGGACAGGGACATCCCAAAAGGGGACAGGACAATTCCCAGCCCTGTCGATTCCAGGACTATTCCAACATTTCTCCCCAAAATCCCGCCTGAAGCAGCCATGGATTCCAGGACGGGCTGCACAGAACCCACAGAATGGCCCAACTTTGATTTTTCCTTCCCAAACCCACCCGGAAGTGGATCCCAAGGGGATTTCCACGGATCCCAAACCAGGAAAAGCAGGAAATCCCATCCCTGGGAATGCTCTCCCTGCACGGAGCCCAGCCCAGCCCCTCCGGCCCCATTCCCACCTTCCCCTCCTGCAGGGTCCCCGGGGATTCCCACTTTGATATCCCGGGAATGGGGTCGATCCCATCCTGGGATTGCTGCAGGGTCCCGGGGCTTTCCCAGCTCCGGGAATTCGGGATTGGCAAAAGCACGGCAGGGCTGAAGGGAAAATCCGGGATTTTCTGGGAATTCCCTGTTTTACCACAGCCTGGAATGAGGGAAGGGCTTTGGGAAGGGCTCCAGAATTCCAGGAACTGTGGGGAGAGCAGGGGACACCCCTGGGATAATACCGGGATAATAATGGGGTGTTAATGGGATGGTGCTGATCCCCAGGCAGAGCAAACCCCCGGAACTGGGGCTTTGCAATCCCATTTCCATGGATGTGGAGCTGCAGCCTGCTCCCATTGTGGGACTGTCACCGGTGCCATGAAAATCCCTTTGAAATGTGGGATTTGGGGCACATCTGCCATTTCTGCCTCCCGGAAGGATTTGTGTGTGCATTCCGTGGAAACAGAGGCGGCTCTGGGGCAGGGATGGCTCCTGCTCCTCCTGCCGGGGAATCCCAGAGAAAATGGGAATTCTGGGAGGGAATAAAACCACCCAAAGGCCTCAGAGGGGATCCCAAATCCCAGAGAAAATGGGAATTGTGGAAGGGAATAAAACCATCTAAACCCCTCAAAGGGGACCCCAAATCCCAGAGAAAATGAGGAATCAAAGGGAATAAAAGGAACCAAACCCAGAGGAAATGGGGAATAAAAGGGAATAAAAGGATCCAAACCCAGAGGAAATGGGGAATAAAAGGCAATAAAAGGATCCAGACCCAGAGAAAACAGGGAATAAAAGGGAATAAAAGGATCCAGAATCCCAGAGCCCCTCGCCATCGCTGCCCACGGGGTCCCGGCCCCGTTCCTGTCCCTCGACGGAAATGTCAGGAATTAATTATGGAGCTCCAGGAATTACAGAGCCATCGGGAATTACGGAGCTCTCAGGAATTGTGGAGCTCTCAGGAATTCATCCCAGAGCTGTCAGGAATTACAGATGTGCCCAATTTCGGCTCGGCGCGGTTACGGCACCGCCGAGCTCGCGGGAGCAGAACGGGGCAGGGCTGAGGCTGGGAAAAGGAAAAAACGGAATTTTTTCTGGGATTGGGAGCCAGGAATTGGTGCCACTGAAGTGTTGGTTCTTGCTGGATGGAATTCCGGCCTTCCCAGGTTTTTTGTTGTGGGATTTGAGTGCCCAGGGGGTGCAAAGCCATGGAAAGGCTGCTCCCCCAGGGGGAAAATAAATCCCAGGAGCTTTGGGAATCCATAAAAAATCCTTAAATCCCAGGAGCTTTGGGAATCCATAAAAAATCCTTAAATCCCAGGAGCTTTGGGAATCCATAAAAAATCCTTAAATCCCAGGAGCTTTGGGAATCCATAAAAAATCCTTAAATCCCAGGAGCTTTGGGATTCCATAGAAAATCCGTAAGTCCCAGGAGCTTTGGGAATCCGTAAGAAATCCATCAATGGAGAATTCCAAGGCTCAGCTCCATCCCAAAGCCCAGCTCAGCTCGTGGGGTCTCTGTTGGTTCCTTTGGATCAGTTTTCCAGTGGGAATTGGGGCTGGAATGGTCCCAAATCCTCCTGTGCAATCCCATTTCCATGGATGTGGAGCTGCAGCCTGCTCCCATTGTGGAACTGTCACCGGTGCCATGAAAATCCCTTTGAAATGTGGGATTTGGGGCATATCTGTCATTTCTGCCTCCCGGAAGGATTTGTGTGTGCATTCCATGGAAACAGAGGCGGCTCTGGGGCAGGGATGGCTCCTGCTCCTCCTGCCGGGGAATCCCAGAGAAAATGGGAATTCTGGGAGGGAATAAAACCACCCAAAGGCCTCAGAGGGGATCCTAAATCCCAGAGAAAATGGGAATTCTGGGAGGGAATAAAACCACCAGAGAAAATGGGAATTCTGGGAGGGAATAAAAGCATCCAAAGGCCTCAGAGGGGATCCTAAATCCCAGAGAAAATGGGAATTCTGGAAGGGAATAAAAGCATCCAAAGGCCTCAGTGGGGATCCCAAATCCCAGAGAAAATGAGGAATCAAAGGGAATAAAAGGAACCAAACCCAGAGAAAACGGGGAATAAAAGGGAATAAAACCATCCAAAGGCTTCAGTCAGAATCCCACATCCCAGAGAAAATGAGGAATCAAAGGGAATGAAAGGATCCAGACCCCAAGGAAACAGGGAATCAAAGGGAATAAAAGGATCCAAACCCAGAGGAAATGGGGAATAAAAGGCAATAAAAGGATCCAGACCCAGAGAAAACAGGGAATAAAAGGGAATAAAAGGATCCAGAATCCCAGAGCCCCTCGCCATCGCTGCCCACGGGGTCCCGGCCCCGTTCCTGTCCCTCGACGGAAATGTCAGGAATTAATTATGGAGCTCCAGGAATTACAGAGCCATCAGGAATTATGGAGCTCTCAGGAATTCATCCCAGAGCTGTCAGGAATTACAGATGTGCCCAATTTCGGCTCGGCGCGGTTACGGCACCGCCGAGCTCGCGGGAGCAGAACGGGGCAGGGCTGAGGCTGGGAAAAGGAAAAAACGGAATTTTTTCTGGGATTGGGAGCCAGGAATTGGTGCCACTGAAGTGTTGGTTCTTGCTGGATGGAATTCCGGCCTTCCCAGGTTTTTTGTTGTGGGATTTGAGTGCCCAGGGGGTGCAAAGCCATGGAAAGGCTGCTCCCCCAGGGGGAAAATAAATCCCAGGAGCTTTGGGAATCCATAAAAAATCCTTAAATCCCAGGAGCTTTGGGAATCCATAAAAAATCCTTAAATCCCAGGAGCTTTGGGATTCCATAGAAAATCCGTAAGTCCCAGGAGCTTTGGGAATCCGTAAGAAATCCATCAATGGAGAATTCCAAGGCTCAGCTCCATCCCAAAGCCCAGCTCAGCTCGTGGGGTCTCTGTTGGTTCCTTTGGATCAGTTTTCCAGTGGGAATTGGGGCTGGAATGGTCCCAAATCCTCCTGGGAAGCCACAGACAGACCCTCTCCTCCTCCTCCTCTGGAAAAAGAGCTCAGGAATGAAGGAAAAGGCTCAAATTTCCATTTTCTCCCCATTTTCCAATGGAAAAAGGAAGGTTTTGCCTTAGGGATGGGCTGTGCCTGACCCCAGCAAGGAAAATTCCCTGCAAAAATCCATGGAAATTTGGGAACATCCCCCAGCTCTGCCTGGATCCTGCTCACCCGGAACGCTGAGTTATCAAATCCCAAAATGGGGTTTTTTCCCCTCCTTTTTTGCCTTTCCATTCCCTAAATTGGGATTTATGGAGAGCTCAGATGGAAAAATTCCCTTCATTCCCTTTCCCCACCCCGACAACGCTCAGAGAACCCCGGAGCCGTGGGGAGAGTGGAGAAGGAACAAATCCCAAATCAATCTTCCAGGAAACGCTGAACGTTTCCATCCCTGTCACAGGAGATGAAGGTGCCAGCCTGGAGGAAAATTCCACGTTTTTCAGGGAAGGGCATCGTCCATCTCCGGGACTGACGCCCACACCGAGATGGATGGGACAGAGGGAAAAATAATTCTCTGGGATGGATGGAGCCCTGGGCAGGGATCTGCAGGATCGAGGGGGTGGGGAAAAATCCTGATTTTCAGGGGAAAAACAAGGATGGCAGAGGGTTTGCTGCTGCTGTTTCTGCTTCACTGCGGTGGCCGAGAGGGGCAGGGAATGATCCCGGGGCTGGGAGAGCTGGGAATGTTCAAATGGAGAAGGGAAATTCCAGGGAGAGCTGGGAATATTCCCCTGGAGAAGGGAAGGATCCAGGGAGAGCTTCCAGAACATTCCGGGCCCTGCCGGGGCTCCAGGAGAGCTGGGGAGGGATTTGGGATAAGGGATGGAGGGACAGGACACAGGGAATGGCTTCCCACTGGGAAAGGGGAGATCTGATGGGATTTTGGGATGGAATGAGGGTGGAGGAGCGGGGATGGAATTCCCAGAGCAGCTGGAAGTGCCCCACATCCCTGGAGGTGCCCCAGGCCAGGCTGGAGCCCCTGGGACAGCGGGAGGTGTCCCTGCCATGGCAGGGGCGGGATGGACCCTGAAGCTCCTTCCCAACCCAAACCACTCCAGGATTCTCTGCAACAACATCCATAAAAAACCCCTGGAAAGGCTCAGGAGGAGCTGGAGCCTGGCAGAGCAGGGCTGAGTTCCTGAGGCTCATTCCCAGCCCCTGCAGGAGCCGCTGGAGGCAGGGAAGGACAAGGATGGATGAGCTGGAAACCCGGGGCTGCTGGGATGGAGCACAGGCAGCCCCAGCCCCGGGGATTTCGGGATGGGCAGTGACAGGGAATGTGGGGGATGGAGGGCACGGCGTGGAAAAAAGGAGAATTCCAGGGGGGGATGGAGGCGGAGTGCGTGCCTGCCTCCAAATGGAAAAATGGACACAGCCCCTCCCATGGGATCGGGGTTTTCCCTTCAAAAGGGCCGGGATGCTCCTGGATTTGGGGGATCCTGGATTCTCCCAGCCATGGGAGCAACTCCAGCTCCATCAGCATTCCAGGGATTTCCAGCTGGGAACTGGGGAGTTTGGGAATTGCAGCTGGGAGTTTGGGAATTCCAGCTGGGAATTTGGGAATTGCAGCTGGGAACTGGGGAATTTGGGAATTCCATCCGGGAATCTGGGACCTGCAGCCGTACCTGCGGCAGCAGCAGGGAGCAGACGATGGCCAGCGTGGTCTGGACGTTGTCCCTGAGCCAGAGCCCCACGGCGTGGATGCAGCCCCGCACGTGGATGGTGCCCAGCAGCTCCAGGCGCTGCGGGAGAGAGCGGGTCCCAAATCCCGGGAATTCGGGGAATTTTCCGCGGCTTTCCCGGGAATTTTGGCGGGAGCAGCATGGGGCTGGGGAGGGATTCTTGTTCTTGTGCTTCCAAGGGAAGTCTTGGAGCTGAGATGGGATTAAATCCCAATTTTTGGGGCCCTGGGAGAGATCCTGGAGCACCAAATTCCCTCAGCTGGGGCCTGCCCGAGCCGGGAATTGCTGTAAGGAATTTCTGGTCCCACATTTCTGCCGGGAATTCCCACATTTCTGCACTTGGGGGATCCCTGGGCTGATCCCGCCACCCTCCTCCCACTGGGCAGGGTCGAGGCCGTTCCCAGGTGAGAACCCCAGGGCCCCAAAAGTGCCCCAAAATCCCAGGGAAAGCCCCAAAAGTGCCCCAAAATCCCAGTGAAAGCCCCAAAGCCGAGCTGGGGAGGGAATTCCCGAGGGAGAGTCTGATTTGGGATTGGGGGAAGGAGGAGCAGAGGATTCCCAGAAAGGCCAAGGTCACCTCCTTGTCCAGGGCACGGTGCCCGCACAGCGTGTTCAGCACCGCTCCGGGGGCCTGCGGGAGCGCCAGGGTTAACCCGGGACAGCGAGGGTTAACCGCGACAGGGGAAGGGATAGCCCGGGACAGGGGAGGGGCTATCCCAGGAGAGGGGAGGGGTTAGCCCGGGAGAGGGGAAGGGTCTGTCCCGGGACAGGGCACGGATTTACCCCGGGAAAACACCAGGAATCCAAAGGAAATCGGGAATTCCAGGGGGGCCCAGCACGGGACAGCCCTGGGAATTCAGGGGGTCCTCAGGGCCAATCCCACCCAAACCATTCCCGGACTCTGGGAGAGCTGGGAATGCTCCCCTGGAGAAGGGACATTCCAGGGAGAGCTTCCAGAACATTCCAGGCCCTGCAGGGGCTCGGGGAGAGCTGGGGGGGGATTTGGGATGAGGGATGGAGGGACAGGACACAGGGAATGGCTTCAAAGCGGGAAAATTAAATGGGAATTTGGGAATTTTGGGATGGATGAGGGTGGGCAGGGCTGGGATGGGATTCCCAGAGGAGCTGGGGCTGCCCCTGGATCCCCGGGAATGTCCCAGGCCAGGCTGGGACAGCGGGAATTGTCCCCCCGGGTGGCCCTGGATGGGACCCAAGGAAATTCCCAAGGGATTTGGCTCTCCTGGTTCCTTTCCTGGAATTCCAGGGTGGTTCCTTAAGGAACGAGGCCAAATCCATCCCAAGGTTTTGGTGCTTCCCAGGTTCCGGAGCCCTTGGGGAGCTCTCACTTCCCAAAAAACCCCAGAGCCACAGCCAGGGCTTGCCCTCTTGGAAAAACCATGGAAAATCCAGGGATTCCTGGAAATTCCCTGGATCCCTGGAAATCCCCTGGGTTCTCCTCCAGACCCAGCTCGGGAATCCCGGAGCGCTCTGGGTGGGAAGGGGCCGATCCCACCCCACCCCAGGGACAAAACCCCCAAATCCCGGCTGCCCCAGGGCCACCTTCAGCATTCCCAGGAAAATTCCCCAAATCCTCCCCTCTGGATCGAGGGGATTTTTCCCTCAAACCTGTTCAGGTTTTATTTTTACCAAATTGTCCCAAAAAAAGCCACGGGAGTGGAAAAATCCCCAAAAAGCTCCTCGGGCTCCCTGCAGGAACCCCTGATTCCACCTCCAGGAGCCTCAGGGTCCTTAATCAAGGCCTTGATTAGAGAGGAGCTCAAATCTGCATCTCATTTGCATATCAGCCTAATGAAAGCCCTTCACATTTCCCTCTTTTTCCACGAGAAACAATGAGGGACTGATGAGGAATTCTGCTTTTTGGGAGCTCTCCCAAACCCTCCCGGCCTGAGGTTCCATCCTGGATGGAATTCCTGCAGCAGCAGGGCTGGGTGAAACCAACTTTTAAATCCAATTTTGGCCTTGGACTAACAGGTTTTGAACAAAATTTTGGGGCTGCTTCACAGAATTTTTGGAGGGGATTTCCTGGGAATTTGGGGATTTTTCCCAGGAATTTTGGGGTTTTTCTCCCCGGAATTCTGGGATATTTCTCCCTGTTCATCCCTCTGACACAGCAGGAGTGGGGCAGAGGGGAATGAGGAGATTTCTCCTAGGAATTTGGGGATTTTTTCATGGGAATTTTGGGATTTTGTTCCCCAGGAATTCTGAGATTTCTCCTAGGAATTTTGGGATTTTTTCATGGGAATTCTGGGACGTTTTCCCGTTCACCCCTCTGACGCAGCAGGAGTGGGGCAGAGGGGAATGAGGGGATTTCCCCCAGGAATTTTGGGATGTTTTGGGATGTTTTTCCCGGATTTCCCCGCTCACCCCTCTGACGCAGCAGGAGTGGGGCACCCCGCAGGCCAGGGCCCCGCTGCCGTTGCACTGGTGGTACTGGTTCACTTCCCAATCCCGGAATTCATCCCCTCCACAGCAGGAAAACTGCAGGAAAACACAGGAGAGGGGAGGGCTGGAAAACCCCACAATTCCAGGGGAAACGGGGAGGGATCTGGGGTTGGGATTCTGGGGGGAAATCCCTCCCTGGGAGGGCACGGATGGAATTCCCAGGGAATTTTCCAGTCCTGGAAGTTCCTTAAAAATCCTGGGAAAGGGGTTTGGGATCAGCCCTGGGAGAACACGGAACAGATTCCCATGAGCACTGGGATAATTAATTGGAATTCATTAACTGGGATAATGGGAATTCCTCCCTGGGAGGGTTGGGAAGGGCAGGGATGGAATTCCCAGGGAATTTTGGATCTTTTGGAAGTGTCCAAGGCCAGGCTGGAACACCCTGGGATGGGGAAGGGGAATTTTAGGGTCCCCTCCATTCCAGAATTCCAATCCCATTCCCTGCATCTCCACTTCCCAACTTTTCCCTGCTCCTGGAGAAGCTGAAGGGTAGGAAAAAAGGGATTTTTTCCCATTTATTCCCATTTTAGAGGGATTTGGGCACGGCTCGGATCCATCCCCACTTCCACGCTTTAATTCCAGAAGACAAATCCGTTTTTTCCCGAGGCAGGGATGGATCTGGGGGCTCTCAGCCATCCCACAAAATCCCCACCAGCCCCTCAGGGATTTCTCTTCCTGTCAGGATAAATTGGGATCAAATCCTGCAGCTACAAAGGGAAAAATTCAAATAAAAATCTCTTTTTTTCCTGCAGCCAAGATAAAAAAATTCTAATTAAAGTCACTCCGAGTCCCCCACCGCATGAACATGAGCCTGGTCTGGATTTTCCCATTTTTTAAGCACCAAACTCATCCAGGAGCAGATTTTGGGAGAGATTTTTCCCTCTGTCCCCATTTTCCAGTGAAAAGCAGGGAGAATTCTTGGGATCTTCCTGCTCTGCTCCATCCCAGGCACAGATTTCAGGATTTTCCTGGATTCCCAGAGTTCCCTCCTCAAATTTTGGGATTTTCCAGGTTTTTTTCCATTTAGGAATGATCAGAGCCAGACCCTGCTCCCCAGTCTCAGAATTCCCTCCTCAAATTTTGGGATTTTCATTCTTCATTTTTCACAAATCCCAGGATAATTCCCAAAAACATCCCCCTGGGCTGAGCTTGGGGAGGCAAAACTCAAAAAACCCCAAACTGAGTGAAGATATCCAAGGAAAGCACCCCAGGGATGGGAATAAAAATGGAAAATCCAGGGAAAAATCCAGGGAAAAATCCTAAAAATCCAGGGAAAAATCCTAAACTCACAAATCCCAGGATAATTCCCAAAAAATCCCCCTGGGCTGAGCTCGGGGAGGCAAAACTCAAAAAACCCCAAACCAAGTGAAGATATCCAAGGAAAGCACCCCAGGGATGGGAATAAAAATGGAAAATCCAGGGAAAAATCCTAAAAATCCAGGGAAAAATCCTAAAAATCCAGGGGGAGCAGAGCATGGGATTAAGCATTCCTTGGGGAACTCCCCCTTTTCCCATCCAAACCTTTTCCTGCACAAAATCCAGGATATTTTTGAAGTCCAGGTCATCGTAGTAGTGCCGGATTCCCTCCTGGATGTTGGAGTGGAAAACCTCGTGCATCTGGGATGGAGAAACCCAAAAGTTGGGAAAATTCATGGAAAACAGCCCAAAATCCCATGGTTTCCATACCAGAGGAGGGATTTAGCCCATCCCAGGGTGATTTTTTTGATAAAATCCACAATTGATAAAATCCATTCCCAGCACGAATTTCTATCCAGCTGACTTTTCCTGTTCCTCATTTGCATCTCAACCAAGCTGATTTGCATACTGCAATTAATCCCCACCTTGCTCTCGAAGATGATCTCCAGGAGGATCAGCAGCAGCTCCGTCAGGAAGATCAGCAGCAGCACCCAGAAGAACTGCAAGGAGGAGAGGACGGGACAGCCGGGAAATGAGGGATTCGCCTCCGGAATTCCGGATTTTCCTGGAAATTTGGCCAAAATTCCGCCTTGGTGTCCCCAGGTGTCACCGTCCATTGGGAGGGACTGGGAAGGAGATTGGGAAGGATCCAAAAGGGACTGGGAAGGGACTGGGAAGGGACTGGGAAGGATCCAGAAGAAACTGGGAAGGAGATCCGGAAGGGACTGGGAAGGATCCCGAGGGTCTCCCCCAGCACAAAGCTCCAAAGCAATTCTGGATTTCTTGGAGAAACTTCCCGAGGAAATCTTTCTGCGGCCCTGCATGCTGAGTCAGGAAGAGCTGCTCGATTCCGATTCAATTAACGCGGCCGCTAACGAGCTCATCAATCCCAATTCCCGCAGCAACCTCGGGAATTGGTGAATCCCTCTGGGAGCTGCTCCTTCCCTCCCTTAACGACCTCCGAGGTTTTGTTCCTCGTTAATTATTCCCAAATCCGGACGTTCCAGCCCCCAGACACCACATTCGGGTGGTTTAACTCCCGTCCCTCCGGAGCACACTTGGGTGAATTCCTCCCCCTCCGGAGCCCAGATCCCGGGGGCTGGGCTGGGGTTTCCAGGCCGTGGATCCCGGGGATTTGGGGCCGTCGGGACCGGCGCGTTCCCGCTGGATAAACGGGAACGGAGCGGCTGCGGGAGATGGATGGAGCTGCCAGGATGGGCTGGAATTCCAGAGGGAATTCCACTGAGAGGGCACAAATCAGCCAAATTCCAGCAGGAATTCCACAGCCTCGGGAGAATCCACGGGAGAAACCAGCCCGGCTCCTGCTGAACACCAATCCCAGATCCTTTAAAACACAAATCCCAGATCCTTTAAAACACAAATGTGGATCCTTTAAAGCACAATTTCCCCGTTTTCCATAAAAAACCCAAAAGCTGCAGCTGCCAGACCCAGCTCGGCTCCAAGAGCTCTCCAGGGCCTCTCTCCCTGATTGCTTTTGTTCTGGAATTCTCCTGGAGGGACAATTCTGATCCCACAAGGGCTCTGACTGCTCCTTCCCTTCCCGGCTTTTCACAGCCCCAATCCCACAAAACCCGGCTGGGCAGGAGAGGGAGGAGCTGCTCCTGGGAATTCGATGTTCCTGGGAATTCTCCTTGGGAATTCACATCCCGGGATGGACCTCGGGAGGGAAAATATCGGGAATTTCCTCCACAGATCCCCAAACCACGGAGACGACTCCAGATCCATGGAATTCCCAAACCATGGAGGTGACCCTGGACCCATGGAACTCCATGGAGATGGCCCTGGATCCATGGAATTCCCAAACCATGGAGGTGACCCTGGGTCCATGGAATTCCCAAACCATGGAGACGACTCTGGATCCATGGAATTCCTCCTTATGACCTCCCAAACCATGGAGGTGACCCCGGATCCATGAAACTCCATGGAGATGACCTCAGACCCATGGAGGTGACCCCAGATCCATGGAATTCCCAAGCCATGGAATTACCCTGGATCCATGGAATTCCCAAACCATGGAGGTGACCCTGGATCCATGGAATTCCTCCTTAAGACCTCCCAAACCATGGAGGTGACCCCGGATCCATGAAACTCCATGGAGATGACCTCAGACCCATGGAAGTGACCCTGGATCCATGGAATTCTGAAACTAGGGAGATGACCCCAGATCCATGGAATTCCCAAGCCATGGAATTACCCTGGATCCATGGAACTGCATGGAGGTGACCCCAAACCCCTGGACATGACCCCAGACCCACGGAACTCCACGGAGGTGACCCCAGACCCCTGGACATGACCCCGGACCCATGGAACTCTATGGACATGACCCCAGACCCACAGAACTCCACGGAGGTGACCCCACACCCCTGGAACGCCCCCGGGGCGTGACCTCAGACCCATGGAAGTGACCCTGGATCCATGGAATTCTGAAACTAGGGAGATGACCCCAGATCCATGGAATTCCCAAGCCATGGAATTACCCTGGATCCATGGAACTGCATGGAGATGACCCTGGATCCCTGGACATGACCCCAGATCCATGGAACTCTATGGAGGTGACCCCAAATCCCTGGACATGACCCCAGACCCACGGAACTCCACGGAGGTGACCCCAGACCCCTGGACATGACCCCGGACCCATGGAACTCTATGGACATGACCCCAGACCCACAGAACTCCACGGAGGTGACCCCACACCCCTGGAACGCCCCCGGGGCGCTGCCCCCCTCACCGTGCGCAGCAGGGCGCGGTTGTCGCGGAGGCTGCCCACCATGCCCACGAAGGACACCAGGAACATGCCGGACCCCAGCAGGAGCAGCAGCACGGCCGGCGCCAGGAAAATCCCCTCCAGCGTGCGGTGCCGCTGCCGCTCCGCCTCGGCGTAGATCCCCACGGCCAGCAGCAGCAGCCCCCCCCCTGGATCGCCCCCGGGGCGCTGCCCCCCTCACCGTGCGCAGCAGGGCGCGGTTGTCGCGGAGGCTGCCCACCATGCCCACGAAGGACACCAGGAACATGCCGGACCCCAGCAGGAGCAGCAGCACGGCCGGCGCCAGGAAAATCCCCTCCAGCGTGCGGTGCCGCTGCCGCTCCGCCTCGGCGTAGATCCCCACGGCCAGCAGCAGCAGCCCCAGCAGCTGCACGGGGAAATCCGGGATTGACTCCGGGGTTTATGGGGTTTGCGGGGGGGTTTGGGGTTTTTGGATTCCCACAGTGGAATCGGCAGGAAAATCCCACAATTCCTTCAACACCCCCAAAACCTGTGGGAAACCCCAAACTGGGCGGGATCGGCTCCTTGGGAACCCAAATCTTGGGATTTACCCCGGATTTGTTTGGAATATTGCACAAATCCCACCCAAAACTCCACCCTGAGCCAGAAACATGGGAGAAATCTGGAATTTTTGGGGTTTATAGGAATATCACAGAGGTCTGGCCCCTCGGAGTTTTCCCACCTGACAGAGCCTGGAAAATCTGGGAGATAATCCCAAAAAAAATCCAAATTTTGGTGATTTTTGGCCTTGGCCGAGCTCATTCACAGGTCAAGAATCAATAAAAACCGAAATTAAAATCATTTCCGGGCACCTGCAGAGGAATTTCTGCGCTCACACCTGAAAAAACAGCCCCACCCCGGGGTTATTTAACCCTGGGGAGGAAATATACTGAAATAAAGTCAGAATTACCCAAAATAAACCCCAAAAAGAGACCCCAAAACTGGCGGAATTCCCGGTTTTCACCTCCCCTCTCCCGCAGGTGTTTGCACCTCCCAGGTACGGGGAAATCCCGCCCCGAGCAGAGTCCAGGGCTTCAAAACCGCCTAAAAATCAATTTATTTGGGATTTTTCCGACAAAAACGCGGCTGAAACCCCCTCGATGTCTGCTGGGGGCACCTGGGGGGTGAAAAAAATGGCATTTTCACGTTTTTTTTCTGGTCCAAACGGGACTCGCAGCCATAAAGGAATCACGGGGAGGATGTGCTTGGGAAAAAAAAACCCAAAACCCGCGGGTTCACCCCAAAATCGCCACGTTTGGAGCCCAAAATCGCCCTAAATCGCCCAGTTTGGAGCCGGCCCCGGGGGTTTGGAGGCATCGCGGGTTTTCCTGAGGGATTTGGGGTTTGGGAAGGGGAAATTGGGACACAGGGGAGCGAAAAGGGCTGGAAAAGCCAATTCCGGTTGGGAAAAAACGGGAAAAACGTGGGGAAAATGGGGAAAATAGGACAAGTACGTACCGAGAAGAGCGTGGCGTAGGCGGAGAGCGAGAATTTGATGCCGTAGTAATAAAAATGGGACTCGCGGCAGGTCCGGGCCATGCCCGGCGCCCCCCGGCTGCAACTCCTGCGGGGAATTTCAACTCCCGGCTCTTCCCGCTGCAATTCCTGCGGGGAATTTCAACCCCCGGCTCTTCCCGCTGCAATTCCTGCGGGGAATTTGAACTTGGGGCCGATTTCCGCCCGCAGGGGCCGAGCGCGGCCGCGTTAACCCTTGCAAGGCTGCGCGCTGCGGGAAGGCGCGGCCGGGGAGGGATTTTGCAGCGGGGACAATCCCGGGAGCGCCTCAGGAATCACCGGCGCTCCCAGGGAATTCCAGCGGCTCCTCCTCCCCACGCGCGGCTCCCAGCCCGAACTGCTGCGGGATTTACCTGCCCAAAATCCGGGATTTGGGATCACCCGCGGCCACAGCGGAGCGGCTTTCCCGGGAGGAAAAGCGGCGGCGCATCCCGAGGGAGGAGCAGAATTCCCGAGGGAAAAGCGCTCCTGGCAGAATTCCCGGCTGGAGCAGCAGGGCCGGGATGGATCTGGCAGCAGCGGAGCTCAAATCCCTGGATACGAACCCGGGCTGCGGGAAGAGACCTCAGATTAATTAAATTAATTAGGGAGAAGACGGAATTTCAGGGAGAGGGATTTTCATGGAGACGGATTTTTATGGAGAGGGATTTTCCAGCCCTTTTTTGGGGGGGCTGAAAAGGTTCGGGATAAATAAAGATAAAACCAATCAATAATCGATAAAATCATCGATAAAACCGCGGAGCTTTGCCGTTACCGAGATCTTTAATTCCCGCTGGAGTCGGGCCCCAAAAATGCTCTGGGAGATTTGGGGGGGAAGAGATGGGAGAGGGGATGTGGGGGGGAATTTTGGGATGGGGGCGCCTGGAAAGGCGGAGGAGCCGCAGCCGGCGGGGCTCGGAACGGCAGCGGGGCCTGCGGAGCCCCGGGAGCGGGACTGGGGGACCGGGGAGGGGACCGGGCACCGGGGGGGCTGTCCCCGGCCGGCTCTGCCCACCCCGCTCCGGCACCGCCCGCGCCGCCCATAAAAGCCCCGCTCGTGCCTCGCCCGCCGCAGTCGGGTCCGCGGCACCGGCTGCGCCCCGAGCTCCCGAACCGGGGAATCCGCAGCCCGAACCGAGCGGGGATCCGCAGCCCGAACCGCGGAATCCGCAGCCGGAACCGGCTACATCCCGAACCGAGCGGGAATCTGCATCCCCAACCGGGGAATCTGCATCCCGAACCGGCTGCAGCAGGTACCGACAGGAGCCGCATCCGGAACCCGCTGCTTCCCGGTGCGACTGAATCCCGAACGGCGAGGGATCCGCACCTGCTCTGCTGCACCCGCATCCCAGTGCGGTGCCGAACCGGGCAGGACCCGCGCCCCGAACCGGGCAGGACCCGCACCCCGAACCGGGCAGGACTCGCGCCCCGAACCGGGCAGGACCCGCGCCCCGAACCGGGCAGGACCCGCACCCCGAACTGGGCGGGACCCGCGCCCCGAACCGGGCAGGACCCGCACCCCGAACCGGTAGGAATCCGAACCGTGGGGAAGCCGCAGCCGAGCCCGGAGGGAGCCGGACCCCGAACCAGCCCCGCAGCCCGGGCCAGCCGTGCCCGAGCCGGGCGGGACCCGCAGCCCGGGCCAGCCGCGCCATGGCCGCGCTCCCGGCTCCAGCTGCCCCCGGGCACCGGAGGGACTGGCACCCCAAAGCTGCTGCACCCTGACCCAGACGGGTTCTGCACCCCAAACCTGCTGCACCCTGACCCAGACGGGTTCTGCACCCCAAACCTGCTGCACCCTGACCCAGACGGGTTCTGCACCCCAAAGCTGCTGTCCCCAAAGCGGGAGGTGCCCATGCCCTGAAGCAGCCACGCACCCCAAAGAGGCTGAGCCAGCAGGGATCTGCACCCCAAAACTGGCTGTGCACTGATCCTACTGCACCCCAAACCAGCAGGGATCTGCACCCCAAAACTGGCTGATCCAGGTCCCTGCACCTCAGATTGGCTGATCTTGGTTCCTGTACCCCCAAACTGGCTCATCCAGGAGGTTCCTGCACCCCAAATTGGCTGTAACCTGCACCCTAAACCAGAAGGTCCCTACACCCCAAACTGGCTGAGCAGGAGATCCCTGCACTCCAAACTGGCTGATCCAGGAGATCCCTCACCCCAATTTTGTTGATCAGGAGGTCCCTCACCCCAGTTCTGCTGATCAGAAGGTCCCTGCAACCCAAATTGGCTGATCAGGAGGTCCCTCACCCCAGTTCTGCTGATCAGAAGGTCCCTGCAACCCAAACTGGCTGATCCAGGAGATCCCCCACCCCAATTTTGTTGATCAGGAGGTCCCTCACCCCAAACTGGCTGATCCAGGAGGTCCCTCACCCCAGTTCTGCTGAGCAGGAGGTCCCTCACCCCCATCTCCCGTGGCCATGGATGAGGCCCCGCCGCTGGCGGCCGAGCTGGAGCTGGAGCCCCTCAACGCCTCCCTGAACGAGTCCTGGAGCAACCCATTTGTGCAGCCGCCGTGGCAGGTGGCCCTGTGGGCCGTGGCCTACGCGCTCATCGTGGTGGTGGCCGTGGTGGGCAACGCCGTGGTCATGTGGATCATCCTGGCGCACAAGCGGATGCGCACGGTCACCAACTACTTCCTGGTGAACCTGGCCTTCGCCGAGGCCTCCATGGCCGCGCTCAACACCGTGGTCAACTTCAGCTACGCCGTGCACAACGAGTGGTACTTCGGGCACGCCTACTGCCGCTTCCACAACTTCTTCCCCATCGCCGCCGTCTTCGCCAGCATCTACTCCATGACGGCCATCGCGCTGGACAGGTCAGTGAGGGGTCAGTCCTGGCCAGAGAACGGGGACAGGTCAGGAGGGGTCATCCATCCCCGGCCGGAGTGGGACAGGTCAGTGACCAGGGTTGGGTTTTCCCTGCCCAGTTCCTGCCAGATCCCACTGGGGCCATGATCCCAAGCTCAGCTGGATCCCAGATCCCACTTGTGCCATGATTCCAGATCCCACTGGGGCCATGATCCCACTGGGTTTTGATCCCAGATCCCACTGGGGCCATGATCCCCTCGGGGTTATGATCCCAGATCCCACTGGGGCCATGATCCCAAGCTCTGCCGGATCCCAGCGGGACCGGGGGACCCCAAAAGCCGCAGGATGTCCCTTCCCTCTCCCAGGAATTTGGGGTCATTTCCCTCTGGAGCCCCAGGACAAACCCCGGTTCCGGAGCAGCCCCGTGGCTCCCTCCGAGCCTTTCAGGTTTTCCCAAGGCCCCGTTCCCAGAGCCAGCCAGGCTCTGCCCCGTGCCTGTTCCCAGGGAATAAAGGGAATTCTGGCAAGGATCCGGGGGGGGAGGATGCTTTTCCTGCCTTTTCCAGCGCCTCTGGAGCTGCTGGCTCCGGGATTCCCTGCAGGAAGCGGGGCCGGGGCTGGGTGAGGCTCCCCGGGTGTCAAAAACAGCCCCGGGTTTGGTTTTGTCACCAAATCCTCTCCCTAAAATCCACGGGAATTGAGGCAATCATCAATAAAAACCGGGATATTTCCAGTTCCTCTCCCATGGTGCTGTTCCAGGAGGATCTTTGGGATTGGCTGGAAAAGCCCCTTTGGGGCTGGGATGAATTCCAGAGATTATTTTTTGGGGTGAATAATTTAATTTACAGCCTTTGATCCACCCTGAAAATCCAGGAAAGCAAATCCAGGGAAGCTGCAGTAAAACAGGGAGGTCTGGGAGGCTGGGGCTGGAATTTTTTGGGGATTAGCATTCCCAAAAAATCTTCCTGCACCTGCAAACCCTGAAGATGGGCTTGGTTTTCCAAAGAAATCCAGGCTCCCACCTGGAAGCTGCAGCTCCAACTGCATCCCAAATTCCAGCCAGGAATGAGGAAGGGAACAAACCCCAAATCCCCTCCAAACGTTGGGAAAATTGCTTTTTTTCCTGTGGCTGGGAGCTGCCAATGGAGCTGAAAGGCAGGAAAAGCAGATTTGTACCAGGAGCTGGGGAGGGGAGAATTGCTCCAGGCCAGCAGCAGGATCTGGGGGAATGGGGAGAGCTGGAAATGGGATTGGGGAAAACTGGAACTGAGAATGGGGAAAACTGGAACTGGGAATGGGGAGAGCTGGGACTGGGAATGGGGAGAGCTGGGACTGGGATTAGGAATGGGGAGAGCTGGGACTGGGATTGGGAATGGGGAGAGCTGGGACTGGGATTGGGAATGGGGAGAGGTGGGACTGGGAATGGGGAGAGCTGAGAATGGGATTGGGAATGGGCAGAGCCAGGATCAGGAGCAGCAGGGCAGTGTTGGGATTCCAGTCAGAGCCAGGATGGGGCTGGAATTCCCAATTCCCACCAAAAATCAGGGAAGCAGCATGGAACGAGCCTCATGTTCCCAAAGTCCTGGGATGGGTGGGATTGGGAAGGACCTCAAATCCCCCCCAGTGCCACCTTCCCTATCCCAGGCTGCCCCAAACCCCTCCAGCCCAGGATCCAGGGGAACCCCGTGGGATTTTTTGTGGGATCCATCACGGATCCATGCGGGATTTTTGCTGGAAGTTTCTCCATCCCCTCCTTCCCCTGGAGCTGCTCCAGCCCTGGGCACGAAAGAAAAACAGCCGGAAGTTGTTCCAAACACTCGGGACAATGGCAGGAAATTCGGGATTGGGGCTGGCACTGCGTGAAGTGCATCAGGAAAATCCCAAAGAATTCAGGGCCTGGCAGCTCCCTCGGCTCCCAAATTCCCACCCCATCCTTTGTTTTCCTGAAGGGAACACGTGGATTTCCCAGCTCCCATTCCCACTGTTCCCAAAACTGGAGAACACTGGGATTTTCTGGCCCTAATTCCTGCTGTTCCCAAAGCTGGAACATTGGGATGTTCCAGCTCTGATTCCCCCTTTTCCCAAAGGGAACACTGGGATTTTCCAGCCCTGATTCCCGCCGTTCCCAGAGGCAGAACCCCAGGATTTTCTGGCCATATTCCCACTGTTCCCAGAGGCAGAACGCCGGGATTTCCCCGTTTTTCCCGCACAGGTACATGGCCATCATCCACCCACTGCGGCCGCGCCTCTCGGCCGCAGCCACCAAGGCTCTGATCGGGCTGATCTGGCTGCTGGCGCTCCTGCTGGCCTTCCCACAGGGATATTTCTCCATCACCCACGAGCTCCCGGGACGCCTCGTCTGCCTCGTGGAGTGGCCGGAGCCCGGCGGAGCCGTGTCCGGGAAAACGTGAGTGAAAACAGGATGGGAAGGGGGAAAAATGGGGGGAAACGAGGAAAAAGGGGGGGAAATGGAGGAAATTCAGGGGGGAAAAGGGGGGAAAAGGGGGAGGGAGAGGGAAAGGGAAAGGAAGGAAAGAAAGGGGAAAGAAAAAGGAAAAGAGGAAAGGAACGGGGAAAACGGGAGGGGAACGGGGAAAAATGGGATGGGAATGGGGAGAAATGGGATGGGAACGGGGAGAAATGGGGGGGGAATGAGGAAAAATGGGGGGAAATGGAGGAAATTCAGGGGGGAAAAGGGGAAGGGAGAGGGAAAGGGAAAGGAAGGAAAGAAAGGGGAAAGAAAAAGGAAAAGAGGAAAATATGGAAAGAAGGGGGAAAGGAAAAGAGGATGGAAAAAAGATGAAAAAAAGAGGGAAAAAAGAGGAGGAAAATAGGACAATGCCACCGTTAAATCCACAAGGGATCCGCATCCCACACTCAGGAAATGGAAAACTGAGAAAGGAGATCCCCAGCAGCTTTGGGATGGCAAATCCCAAAGAATTTGGGGATTGGGAGGAACTCATGGCTCGGTGGCGGCTCCAGTCCTCGGGAATCCCATGAGCAAATCCCGGGATGGGATTTTCCTGCCCTGAATAACTCGGGACAGGTGTTTGGGTCATTCCAGAGGTGTCATTCCAGCCCTTCCCTGCTCCATGGCCTCGGGGTGGATATTCTGGGAACGCTCCCCTGGCAGCTGCTCCGTTTGTGGCGCCAGGAGGAAAAAATTCCATCCTTTTTCCAGTTCCCAGGGAAAACAGGAGGAAGAACAGGGAAAACAGGAGAATTCCAACACTTCTGGGGGAATTCCTTCAGAAAACCTCTGGGGAGCACAACCCTGGTGTGCAGAGGGTACCAGAGCTGATTTTCCCCTGGAGAACATCCCTGGTTTTGGCCGGAATGATAATTCTGCAGGATGTGATCCAGCCGTTGATCCCTGCTTCCCAAAGGGTTCAGGAATTCCCTTTGGGGTTTTGAGGGAAGGGAGAAGCCACCCTGGATCCCCTGGGAATTCAGGGATGTCCCTTCCATGCCAACACTGCCGGGATTCCCAGGGAAGGGAGGTGGCAGCTCCATCCTCCGGCATTCCACGATCCTCCATCCCACACCAGCTCCTAAAACCCTTGCAGCTGCAAACCCCAAATCTCCCGCAGCGCTGCGATCCCGGGAATGCTGCAGGCAGAGCAATTCCCAGTGCTTTTCCACCCTGGCATCCCAGAAGGATCCTGGAGCTGTCTGGAAGGGCTCTCGGAGCCCAGACCCCTCTGGGAATGGGGCTCTGCGCTGCTGACGTTATCCCGCAGCTCCTCCAGACATTCCTGCAGCGCTCTGAGGATCCGGAATTCCATGGGAACCGCAACAAAATCCTCCTGCGGAGCCGCCAAGACGCCTCTGGAATGAGGCAAACAAAGTCCAGCCCCGCCAAGGCCATCCCAAATGGAATTAGGGCCGGGAAAATCAGATTGCGGTACCGAGCAGCAGCGGGGCCGGGGCCAGCCCCGTTCCCTGCGGGAGAATTCCCGGAGCCGCTCCTCACCCCCTGGAGCTGGGATTCAACCCGAGCTCCCGGGAAGAGGAGCGGGAGCAGGGCCTGGATTGGAGTCCCAATCCTTGGAAAGACAGAGGAGCAGGGAGCCCAAAAATATTTGGAGCCCAAAAATCCACCCAGAGGCCCCAAAGCCTTGGGAATAAAATCCCACTAACCAGGCAGGATTTGGGAAGTTTTCCAAGCCAGCTCCAGCCACATTTGTGGACTCGGTTTTTAGGGAAGAGAGGATTTTCCAGGATTTTCCGCAGGGTTGGAGCCTCCGTCCCCTCTTGTGGTTAAACCCAGAATTATTGGATTCCCACTTAAACCAACTCCTCTCTAACAGAAGTCCTCACTGATCCGCAGCATTACCAGACTTCTCACGGCATTCCCAGTGCTTCCATGGCATTCCCAAAAAACTTCCACGACATTCCCAGTGCCGGATCCTCAGGGATTATCCCATTTTTCCAGGTACCACTTTTCCATGACCGTCCTGCTGTACGTGCTGCCGCTGCTGGTGATCGGCTGCGCCTACGCCGCCGTCGGCCGCACGCTCTGGGCCAGCGCCATCCCCGGAGACTCCTCCGACCGCTACCACGAGCAGGTGTCGGCCAAGAGGAAGGTGAGGAATTCCGGGAGGGGCTGGATCCACAATTCCTGGCCAATCTCCATGAGGTGAGG